GTAGCCCAGGTAGATGAGTGAGCATCAAGGCAGCTAAAAGAAGGGCCGGCAAAGGGGGCGCCGTTCCTGAAACTATGACGGCAGATGAGTTGTTGCCTTCTTTTTTCGATCTGGCTTTTATTAATTGATTCGGAATAAAATGTCAATGCTCATCTTGAATCCACTGCTGACCAACACAAATGTCATGTTTTGCACTGATTGAGATGAGATGAGTTGAATGATTTTCCAGACTTTGGCCAGTGCAGTTAGTGGGGTCTCTCCACAAACTGCGCTAAACTCCACCTGTGAAGATCTTGGGCTGGACGCCATCCTCTCTCTCACTTCTGGTCCGGTCCAACAGATGACGACCAACCAACTACCAATATCACTCACCACTGTCTAATCTTTGACGTGCGTGGTTTTAATTCCTCATGCCCGGGACATGCAAGCATGGTTCCATTATCATTTCTGGGGGATCTTCAGCAGATGCTGGGATATTCTCAGTCTAAGCCAATGCAGCATCATCACTTGATCAAGACAGAACATCTCACTCACCTCTCCTCGTTTCTGTGATACCCTCGCTGTGCAGACTTGACACAAGATGCTGTGCTATCATACCTCTTTAGGCGAGAGCGCCGTGGCTTGAAACCTTGATCCTTCTCCCATGCCGTTGGCTTCAGGAGGCGTTGGGGAAATGTATGACTTGCTTACGTCGGCAACATGTCCGTTCTTCAAGGGTCTCCATATCTTTTTTTGCTCTCTTTCTTTTGCTGTACTCTGTAGGATCTACGGATACCATATCAGCAGCTGTGGAGCCCGAACTGGACTGGCCCGTCTTACAGATTTCTCATCCCCATGCATTCCCCGGGACATGGATAAGACATCGACTTTAGGCTTGTCCTTCTTCAGCTCAAGGGTTACAGGGGATCCTCGTCGAGTTCATAACTTGTCTATTGTACCCTCCCACACCCCATGTCATAAGCATAAGCGCCAACATCACCACCGTCTGTCTTGCTCTGTCCGTGTTCCTCTTTGGGCATATGCATGCCATGCCATGCCCTCGCCTCTCAGTCTCTCCGCGAGCCATATTACATACAGATCTACTCCCCCCTCCTTTACATACTTGCTAGCAGGTCTTCCTTTGTGCCGGGTTCTTGGTTAGACTAATTGCCACTTACTTCTTCTTTACTTTTATCTTGCTTTTTCCCCTCGCCCCCCGCCATCATCATTTTGCTCGCCCTCCTCTTTGTTACGATTGTGTATGCAATAGTGATCTGCCGCAGTTTTCTCTATAAACCCAATCATCCCTTCCCCCTTGGTCATTGCATAGTTTCCTCTCTGCTTGCCACGCTTTGGAATTGCACCTTTGGCCTGAATGTGCAGTCATTAGTAGCTGGTTGTTATTAGACACAAACCTCGAACGCTTTGAGACTTGACCGTTACGCTTACCAACGCTCCTTCTATATCGAGGACGCCAACCAACCAACCTTGGGTCGACAATAAAGCATTGGACTTGACTTGCGTCTCCCTCTTTTCATCCAACAACACTTCATCATAAATATTGAGTAGACACTGGGAGAATGGTGAACTACCGATAAAACCGACTCTCCATTCCCATCACGGCTCGACGACGAGAACCACCAATTTCTTGGTCATTGCCACCAAAACGCAAGTTAACTACCGTTCATTCTCTCGAGTCTCGATACCTTCATCATGTCTTCCGCCGAGCATCTCTCCAACTCGCAGCTCCGCGCTCTGAGTATCATTGAGCGGACATGCTCTGTCTTCTCATTGCTCGGCTCACTCTTTATTATCGCCACATTCTTGTCATCGAAGGCCTTTCATAAACCCATCAACCGACTGGTATTTTATGCTTCTTTTGGCAACATGATGACCAACGTCGGTACATTGATGTCAAGATCCTATATAGGCTCACCAAATTCTGTGGGCTGTCAATTCCAGGCCTTCCTCATCCAGATGTAGGCTCACTTACACCACACCGATGCTCTTAGACACTAACTTGCGTTAGGTTCATGCCTGCCGATGCCTTCTGGACCTTGTCCATGGCCATCAATGTCTACCTGACATTTTATTTCAAGTTCGATGCTCGAAGACTACGGAAGATGGAGATTCCCTATCTCATCGGATGTTACGGTATCCCTTTCGTCCCAGCCTTCGTATACATCTTCATCAAGAACGAGGAGGGACACCGAATGTATGGTAATGCCACCCTGTGGTGTTGGGTGAGCATGGAGTGGGATATCTGGCGTATCATCACTTTCTACGGACCTGTCTGGTAAGTAATTGTTCCCGTTGACTCTGAAGTGGGCGCTGAACATCACAGGGTTGTCATTGCCATTACCTTTTTTATCTACATCCGTGCTGGTAGCACCATCTATCGCAAGCGGCAGGAGCTTGATGATTTTAGCTCCACCGATCGAGATCTGACTTATGGGGCTGGAGATCATCTGGGAACTATTAAGACCACAGAAGTTTCAGTCACCACAGAGGTCGTTACTCCGAATGCGATTCATCTTCAGCCCATGGGGGGCCGTCGAGCACCCGACCCTAGTGACCCCAGCTCTAACGCATACTCGGTTCACATCTCAGCGCAGCCTAGTTCCGGGGACGTCGGGGATGAAGTCCTTCCCATTGAACGACAACAAACACGGGCGAGTGTTCAAGTTCCTGCACAGCAGCAGCAGCAACGATCAGGAGGCAATCCTGCTCGAAGAAGGAATCGAGAACTCAGCAATGCAGCATGGCAATACACAAAGTGTGCCCTGCTGTTCTTCACAGCCATCTTGATCACATGGGTCCCATCAAGCGCCAACCGCGTGTACTCAGTATTCCACACCAAAAACTCATCTGTACCGCTTGAGTTCATGAGTGCCTTTGTGCTCCCTCTTCAGGGCTTTTGGAATGCCCTCATTTACATGGTTACATCTTGGAGTGCGTGCAAGAACTTGGCTACTGACCTACGTATGGGTCGAAGGCCGGATGTGACAGAACTCGTTGGCGGCATGGCACCAGAGGTCGGGGCCAATAACGCAAGGACAATGAACAGCCACCATCGACACAACCTCGGTCAGTTCCGACGATCGAATAAGTTCGAAACGGAAAGTATGACTGAACTGGCCAACGAGAGCCGGCCAACTTCAGACGATGAGCGGAGAGACAACGTGCGTGTATAACAGTTCTAAGGGTCTGCTTGGAAACGATGCTGCAGATATCCTTTTTCTTTTGTTACTATATATAATGAAGACACGACTTTGATGGTCAAGGCGTGCTCGAGACAGCTTGGGAGAGTTTGTTGGGAGACATTTGTTGGTTTCACCAGCGTCAAAAGATGGAGGATAATGGATACCCCAGTATTGTTACAAATAGTACTTAAATGCTGATCAAAGTCTGAGAGCCATTTACGTGCTTTTACCGCAGATCGAACGTGTCTGCTTTGCCCATCCTGTGATACAGAACTGTGTTTCAAAAACTAATATCTGCCACGCGAATATGAATCAACCTTATTTTAAGCTTGATAATCAGTTGCTCAACACACGTGGCTGGAGTGTGACTCCCTTGTGTCAAGAGCGGAACACGAGGTAAGGTAGAGCTAGTTTAGCACCTGCAAGGACAGGATGGCTTGATATCCATGTCTCGACGATGCATTCCCGGTCGTCCGGAGGAAGCACTGACAGTCTGACCCTGGAACACACTCACGCAATCAGATTGACAGATGATGCGGAATCTGCGTGTTAGAAAGGACGATGGCGTCAAGGATGTGACATGGGCACTTGAGTTAAGGTCCCTTTGAAATCGACAGTGGCTTGCCAAGGGTGGCTTCAAGGAGAAAGAAAGCCCTTGGCAATAAAATTAAGATGCTTGTATAGACTGGTCCAGAGGCCCTTTGATATATGCTAAACTTAACGGAGTCTTTTTGTCACTTAGAATAAAGGTCTTGAATTTTCCTGCCTCTCCCGTACTCTTGTTCTGTGATGTATGCATGTAGATTCTTGGTGGGGGCATCGTATGATCTTGAAGTGTCAGGGATTGTGAAAAATGCGGGGGAGAGGGGAATGGGCTTTTGTAGTTTGCGGGGAAGATGAAGCCATCTACAGACTCGCCTGATGTGGCTTTCAGGGTCCAATTGGGTTCCAGACATTTGTAGTTGAAAGAAAAGGGCGATAATTTGGTTACTTTGTGAAGACTTCAAATGTCATGTGATAATTCCGCCTTCTTCTATAATTTATTGCTCGGGATGCTTTGAAAACACCCATGACATTTCCAGTTATCAGTTATGCTATCGAGGCGTCTTATCGAAATGATATCGCTATATCTGTTCATATTCGGCTACAGGAGAGGACAAATTCTAAGAAGGAGTAAGGGTATCTATTTCAGATTTATCGTCCAAGGAGGTACGAATCTGCCAATTCAAACTCGTCGGTCTCAATGCCTCAGGTCAAGTTGCATTACTATGTCTAAGACCTAGGAATTGTTACATAAAATGCCAGCTCTCAGCCTCCCACCAAGCAAATCTCATTGTTCTTGTCTCAGTATGCCTTGGCTAAGTACCTACGTTTGCTGGTCGAGGCTGTGAGTATGTACACCTGATTGGTCGTTGGTTGGTGGTTCGCCCAACCAAGTAGGCATTTTGAGAGCCTGGTTTCCATTTTCCTTTTTTTCCAAAGCTGAGATTACCTTGTTTCTTCCATATCGGGGTCTTATTTTCTCTGTAAAACTTTCGAAGCCGGCCTTAACCGAGTCGTCCTTGCGAACAAACACAATTTACCGCCCCCGATGGAGGTCCTTGATGCCGTAGCCAGCTCTATCGCCGTGGTGCAGGCTTTGGCAGCTGGGAAGCATGCCGTTTCTCTTTTTTGAGAAATTCCGGATATTCAGAAGGACTTTGACTACCTGATGAATGAGGTTGGTCCCCCACTTACTGGAAACCTTAGCTGTGGTCAGGACTAACATGCGGTTCTCAGCTGGACATGATCAAATCTATAGCGCAAGCTGCCTCGAAAATGGCTCCTACAGCAATGGAAAAGGATCTTATCACCACTGCAGCGCGAAACCTCAATGATACTACCGCAGAACTCGAGGCGTTATTACGGATATGTTCTCGCGAGAGTGGCCCAGATGGGAACAAAATGAGCAAGACAAGGAAGAGAAAGTGGCTTGTAGAGAAAAGTGACATCAAGAAGCTGCAACAGAGGATGTTCCAAGCCAAAGAAACTCTTCACTTTGCTCTGAACTCGTCGCGCGTATCCAGCGATATTAGGCAAGTGTACCACGTATAGAATCTAGCTCTGGCCCTCTGTATTGACAGGTGAGAAGATTTCAAGCAGAAATGAGACAGATAATGCTAAACATGTATACAATGCATACAAGCTCGCCAAGTTCCTTGCAGCTACCAGAAGGAATAGAGAATCCAGCATCAGTTCAACAACTTCAGGACGCTCATATACCAGAGTCAGACGCAGTAGTTATCGGCGATGACCATGGCAACAATCTGGAACAAATGAATGAATCTGTACAGATACATTCTACGGTATCAACACAGAGAACATCATCGGGCTCCACATGCCAGTGCCGATGTCATTTCTCTGAGAGTCAATACCGAAGCTCTAGCTGGACACACTCACTAATACGGCCTTGAAAATGGAGTACCAAGTTCCGAAATGGTTTCTCGTCAGGACATTCAACATTTGTGCGTCTTATAGCAGCCTTTCTGGATTGACTTGCGCCCTACGCCCCTTTAGATCGATTGAAGAGGACTCTATGGTGTGTTTTAACCAAAAAGGCTCGAGCCAGTTGGTCAGGAGATCAGTGGTTGCATATGGCGTTTACCCTCATGACACGGATATTTGTGGCGTGGGACTCATAGAGGTTGGTCAATATCCCCCAAGTCGCCACTGAGTAAGGGGTCAGTGTGCACTAACAGAAGCAGTATTCTCTTCATAACCAACTTTACTGTTCTTTAGAGCCTCTTCTAGATATATGGAAGAGTATCCTGACTGAGGTTGGGTTACCCAGGTCAGTTGTTAACTACGTTAATCGAACAAGGTTAGCTCAATAATTAATTGATAGACGTGTGGCGATTACTGCCGCCTCAACACTACGATACTCTAAGCTCAATGATAAGCAGACTTACCTCATTCAAAAGGTTCTCGATCTTTGTCGCATATTTCTGAAGTGACAACGACCAAGGTTCACGAGGCGATCTTGCAATGCGCAGATCTACAAGAAGCATTACAGGAGCAACCTTGGGCTATCAACACGGTTGATGGCGCTGGCGAATCCCCTCCTCTTCTTGCAACCAAGAGAAGCCAAATCAGGTTCATGGAAGTTCTCATTTCAGCAGGAGCTGATGTTAATCAACAATCTTACAATGGAAGGTCGCCTCCCATGGTCGCAGTCGAGGAACAAAACGTCGAGTCTGTAAAAATGCTGCTCAAGTCTCAATCGAACGTCAATTTGTGCGATGAGGAGGGCGCGACAGCACTACATCACGCTTCTATAGAAGCTGAACCGGAGGTCATCAGCCTCTTACTCGCGGCGGGAGCATCTGTAAAGCAGCAAGATCCCTTTGGAGACACGCCACTTCATGGGGTAGCCCGGTCCGAAAGCACCAACCATCAAGACATCGAAGCAGCCATTGAGATGCTGCTCGTGGCAGGATCTGACCTTGAAGCACGAGGCTATCAAGGAGATACCCCATTCCTTGTATCAATTGCTTTCGATAAACTGGAAGCTACCAGAGCTTTGATAAATGCAGGTTGCTCTATCAACGTTTCTAATTGCGGTTCTCGGAACGTGCTGCATCTTGTAGCCAGAAACGCTTCACTGGATTTACTTCGGTATCTTTCTATCTTGGACCTATCCGGCATCAACCTATATCTGCAAGACTCATCCGGCGACACACCCTTTGATGATTTCGTCGAAACTTCTCATGCTACGGATGAATGGGACTTGGTAGGAGCTCGTAAGCCTGGTCTCTCTGAGCAAGAAGCTTTTGTCGAGCTTTATCAAGACGTTAGAGATCAAGCCCTACAGAATGATATTCAGAATCTCGAGCGAGTGCTCGGCGCGTTGCAACAGCAGGACATTGTAATCGCACGAGAACATCTAGCATTGTTGGTCGAAAAAGAGAAAAGATGGGAGCGTGAAAATCTGGTTTCTTGGTATCAAGCTGTCGACAAGCGAATTGTGCATGCGGAACGGGATTTAGCAACAGAAGATGTAGAGGGTCATCTACTGGACTTACAAGAAGAACTCGCAACCCCGGTTTGGGAGATCCCATCAAAGTTCGGCTACTTATGGGAACTCGATGATGGAGAATCAGTCAGTGAAGAGGGATCCGAAAACTCGGATGATTCTGACCAACAGGTCGCAGGTCAGGATGAAGCTCAAGCAGCCTAGGAACAAAGCTAGTGGCAGGCATCCTTAGGTACTAATAAAGGGAATCTCCAGACAAGAGTGCATGAGGGCCCATGTCAAAATGTTACAACATTTATTCGATTCGAGCGCAGAAGAAGCGAGCGAGCAAGAGTTTTAGAATACGAAACACGGTCAAAATTATCGGATACTAACCCATACAAATGCAATTTGACAGAGGATACCATGAGTTCTATCTTGAAGTGTTCTACCATTCGTCTTCTCATACAATCTCCTTACATGTGGATCTTGTCACAGTTGCTCACTGGCTAATCTCGAAATAAGAAACTTGCGTCTATCTCTCTGAACAAATCCGACCATATACCTATCCCTGGAACCCTTTCTTTCCGTAGTGTGGTATCTTCCTCTAGATAAGACCCTTGCCTCTGATTCTTTTCGTTTTCTAATAACAAAGCATGAATAGAAGAAACTGGAGCGCAAAAGCACAAATCAGCAACGTCTTTCATCTTTCCTAGATCTCTAGTGCTCCAAGTTCTCGAGGCCTTCTACCTCTTCTGGAATATCCTCTTGACCTTGCTTCACGCCATCTATCATGTGGTATTCCCAAACCGTGCCCAGTTGGAGGCACTCGTTGACGCAGCCTTCGTCTTCCCACCACCATTTATCCCCGGTGACGAAACTGCCCCAGACTTCCATCCAGAGCAGGCGACCGATGATGCTACGGACTTCAGCTTTCACTTCTCTCTCAGAAGGAATCCTGTCTATGAAAGGATCGCTGTCGTCGGCTTGACTCCGAATACTAGCTGATACTGCGTAGAACTTTGAGGTTGTGAGAGTGCTGCCTTGGCCTCGCAGACCAGCATCGCCCATCCATTCTGGGAACAGTCTACTTGGGTTCGTGCACTTGAAGTGTCGCTCGAGGTTGATCAACAGATGCTCTTGAAGCCATGCTCGCATACGATGGCCGAGTGTGCTTGCGCAGGGTAATGGGTCAATAAGAGTGAGCTGTAGGGAGCCACCGACTCTAAGACGGTTGCTGATGTTCTTGAGTACCCCTGGTATCTCAGGTGAAGAGCATACGGCGGGTAGCGAGAGCGAGTATACGATGGTGAATGAGTGCTGGTCAATCGAGAGTGTCGAGGGAGTCATGGACGGGACCAATACTGGGTGAGTGTTGGGAAGCTCTTTGTTTTGAAAGGACGATGTTGTCAGGGAGAATACTTCTCTCGTTGAGTGAAGAGCTGCAAGGTATGTCGCTGTGACTAAGGTTGTTAGCACTGCGCTACTTCGACGGTCACTGATTTACTCACTTTCAGACTCATAGAGGGCCAGTACCCCAAGACCGTCAGACGTATTTGCGACAGCGCAAGCAACACCAGCACTGTCCCTCGCCTCAATGTCTAGATAGTGCAGGACAGAAAGCATCCATCGCTTCAGCTCAATGTTCAATTCGCCATGGAGCCTCTCGTCGGTGACGGTCCAGATCTCTTTGATACGCGCAAGAATCATGCTGGGACTCGAAGCCGCCATAACCTTGACTTGATCCTTGACGCTCTCGAAATCTGCGCACGGCTTCACTTGGACTGTCTCGTCTGTATCAACGGTCATCTCGACATCTTCTTGGTTCTCAAGCATTCGCGCCTCTTCTTCTGTTTGTCGGTCGATGTACTCCCATTCTTCCGGGGGACGCCATGAGTCGGGATCGTTGGGTCGGAAGCTGATCACGATGGGAGCTTTCGGTTCTTTGGGAAGATTGGGACTGGGCACGAGACTGTTGGGTGACTCTGACTGGAGTATCGGGACGGGGAAGTTTCTGAAAGGAGTCAGTGGTGTCCTCTTTCTCCGTGAGTAATATAGTTACCTATCTCCCATTGAACCCGCTGGCGTGGGAGGGTGATCGCCCTCTAGCTCAGAGTAGCCGTGCACCTCTGAACACAAGTCTGGGTTCTCCAAGTCAGACGGTCGAGGCTGTGAGACTTCGTTGCGCTTAGCAACGTGTGAAGACGAGGCATCAGTGGAAAGCGGAGTGTTGGCCCTGCGTGCTCGCTCTGCCCCAAGAGAAATATTCGACAAGTTTGCCATAAGTACCGAGCGATGGTAGCTCCCCGAGTTGGAGCGCGAGGAGTGATGGCTTGGAGTCAAAAGACCCGACGGAGTCTTCTCTTTGCCTTTTGCATGTTTGCCATTTCGAGGTCGGAGAAAGCCGAAACGAGATTCTGTGGAAGACCGAGTGCTTGTGACGGATAGTGAGCGGCTGAGGATAGAGTTCTCCTGTTCCTTTTCTCTCTCCTTGTTTTTCAGCTCGCGCTTGATCTCCTTTTTGGCGCGATGCTCGCCGACGAGTTCGCGATCGGGATCGACCCAGATGACGTCAAACATTGTGTTTAGAGCTCTGTGGTTTTATGTCTTCTGTCGAGGGTTTTTGCTAAGGTAGGCGACTTGTTTGTTGTATATGAAATCGGAGTGAGTCGTGAGGAGGTCGGGTGATGAGTGCATCTATTCTAGGTTGAAAGAACGATTTACGAAGTAGAGTGCGTATAAGCTTCAAGAAGTTCGGAAACAAAAACCGGCTGCCTTTATCTTCTATTCTTGATGGCGAAGGAAATGATGTTGTGAGATGAATGTGTGTGTGTGTTCGGAGGAGTGGGGGTGGAGGCTGTGAGAAGTTGAGGAGTCAAGGCCAACGAAAGGTCGAGGACTTCAGAGAGTTACTATTACTAGCCTCTGATACAAGGTCAAAACTATGATATAAAAGAGTCTAAACTGTTGTTAAGTAGGTATCAAGTGAAGTGTGCGGTTGACAGTTGCTGAGCACCCGCGTGTCAGTGTCAGGTGCACCAAGTGATTGGAAGTGTCAAACGAGAATGTCGGTCCCAGTTCGGAGAAAAGAGCCAGTGGTTGGTTCTAGAGGCATCAATGACCTGCGAGTTTGTTCACCTCCTGTAAGGAGTGATTCTGGGGTCCTGAAGGGTCACTTATACGCGTTTGGTAGACAGGACGATGATTAGGTAGGAGATCAAGTGTTGGGATGATCAGCTCAAGTTTTACTCATGTCACTGATTCACTGGCCCAAAATAGCTCCAGAAGTATCCCTAATCACTGTGGATTTCTGGGTGGATGTGTGACAGCAGAAGTTGAGACGAGTTAGTATATGCAGCAAGTTGTCATTGAGGGCCTCACAGCCTGGTAAGAATGTCAGCATCAAGTCATGTGGGCAACGATAATCGTCTCTGATTAAGATGAACATTTTCTCTGCTTGTATGTGATTGATATACTCTATGTCGACCGGTTTCACGAAAAGACCACATGACTTTCAGCCAGCTCTCTGTGTAAGTGAAAAGGGGCCACTTTCAGTGCGTTAGATATCGACCAATGGTCAGCAATATTGTTAGACATTAACTTAGGACGAAGAATCTACGATTCGATATGGTGAAAAATATGTCTTTCCTTATGTTCTCTCCTATTCAAGTGCGATTATCCAACATATACACATGAGTGTACCGCCTCCGCAGAATAGCTCTCGGCCAGCATCCAATGTCGAAAGAACACCAGCAAGAGCCAGTTTATTTCGGCTACAGACATACCGGGCATTGTCCTACATCTGTATCAACCAACCACGTCTTTTGTCACCATTCACACCCGACGCCTTCTCGCTTCGCGAACGTCGGCGAGCTGCATGTGGTGGGACGAACACCTGGTCTGTACGACACTGAACCCGTGTTCTTAGGGGTCGGTACCAGGAACTCAGTGGTGGAAATGGGATCCTCCTGGGTCATGATCTCATTGAAGAATAGCCTTTTCTGGTGAATTCAGGGGTTGGATATGTGTGGTAGGTGAATTGAGTCGGTCTTTTGACCATGTTGAGGTGTCCAATGGCTCCTGTCGAGAAGGATTTGATCTCGTCTGTATCTTGGTTATCAATCCAGTATAAGTATTCATCCTCACAGGTTAAATTCCTTTCTCAATTACTGTTTATCCCAGACTTGCCAATAATGAGGCCCGTTTACCGGCATGTTCATTTATCACAACGCCTCAAACGCATCACCTTGACAATAAGCTCGGACAAAGAGCCAAGGCCCAAATGCTAGGTTCAGCCCTCGAGCCAAGGTAACCAATATTACACAGACGGCTCGTGGAAACAATGCCCTCCCCTTTGACCAAGGCAAACATTCCCAACGCTGTGTACACATAAAGGTACCCAAAAACCACCCGCAGCCTTATAGATCTTGTTCACTTTTGTTCCTGTTCTTTCTGGGCTTATGCTGTGTCTGTCTGTCTGTCTGTACGTGCGTGCATGTGTGTGTGCGTTTGCGTGTGCGTGTGCATCTTGCGCAACTCGCAACCTGGACTCGAACTTCGAGTCTTGTGATGCATACCCGTGAAGTCGGTAACAAGAGCTGACGAGAGAGAGAACTTATCTTATCGGGCTCAAGGTGTAGATACCGACTGACGTCGAGGTTGTTGGCAGTGCGAGACGACTGCCAGTGTCTGCCAGCTGCAGTTCTGCTCTGGTGTTTCGTCCTCTTGACGCCAGAAACCAAGAGGCTCTGTTTGCCTTTCTCTGATATAATCTACCTAATCTTCTGCTTCTTCAACTTTGCCGCAAGACAGGATCTCTCTTCCTCATTTCTTCTGGTGTCACCTCCTCCTTTTCACAGCGTGTATCGACGCCACCATCAACCTCGCTCGCTCCCTCTCTTTCTTGCGTTTCCTCTTCACATAATCATACGCCTCATCAGTGCCCTCTATTCCTTTTATCTTCCAATTTTCCTCCACTCCATCTTCGCATCATCAAAGCAAACACCACAAAACACACATTGCCTTCAAGATGGAAACCTCGCCAGGACAGCCAGGCGTTACGCCTATGCCCAACCAAGAAGATGTCGATATTTCTCAACATCTTGGCCGCTCTCGATACTTTGGTCTTCGTGACTTTTTTGATCGTGTTGACCACTATGTCACCACTTCAGCCTTTGGGTACTTCTTCACCCTCAGTGGTACTGGACATGTAAGATGCTCTCTCTCTCTCTCTCTCTCTCTCTGTACTGGCAATTGTCTGAGCTGATGACTTTCTAGCCTCAAGAGATTGCTGGAGCGACCTTCTTTCGAGAAGTTCGCGCTGGTATCACAACCTTTGCTACTATGGCATACATCATCGCTGTCAACGTATGAGTTCTCGATCCTCTTTCGCCGCAGTTCAGTTGGCTGACAATAGACAGGCTGCTCTGCTCGCTCAGTCTGGCGGTACTTGTGTATGTGACTTGACGGATCGACACGCATGTGACAAGATTGATTCATATGTTGCTTGCAAAGAGGGTGAGTAAAGACAGACAGATTCCCAACAATATGGGGAGATAGATGCTGATCATACAACAGACATTCGACGAGATATCGTCACTGCTACAGCTGCAGTCTCCGGCCTGGCAAGCTTCATGTTCGGCTTTCTTACCAACCTCCCTGTTGCCCTCGCGTAAGTCTCTTGCCTTCTCACACTATGATATGGTACTGATCCCCAATAGCCCCGGAATGGGCCTCAATGCATACTTCACCTTTCAAGTTGTCGGGTATAACGGAAGCGGCCCCATCTCTTACCGTCTCGCACTTACAGCCGTCTTCGTCGAGGGCCTTATCTTCATCTTCCTTGCTCTCACGGGTATGCGCCAGTGGCTTGTCAAGCTTATACCTTCTACCATCAAGACTGCCACGGGCGTTGGTATCGGCTTCTTCCTCACTGAAATCGGTCTCTCGTACTCTGCCGGTATTGGTGCTATTACCGGTGGTGGAAAGGCTACTCCTCTTGCGCTTGGGGGCTGTCCCCAGGAGCTGCTTGACGAGGTGACTGGCATGTGTACAGAAGGGCAGATGTCGAGCCCCAAGGTAAGTTGGCTGACCTCCTTTGAGGACCATGCGCTTATTCAGGTAGTTATGGGTTGCTGTCTTTTGCGGCGGTATTGTCACTGCCTTTCTTATGGCGTTCCGCGTCAAGTACGCCCTCATCCTTGGCATTGCTCTCGTTTCTGTTCTGTCATGGCCGTATGTCCTCCTCCTTTATCCCCTAATCTCACCTAACAATCTCACAGTCGCAACACTCCCATCACGTACTTCCCACACACTGACGAGGGAGACTCCCGTTTCGACTTCTTCAGTCAAGTCGTTATGTGGCACCCGATTGAAAGGACTCTTAACCAGCTCGACTGGTCCTTTGGTGGTTCGGCATCTCAATTCGCTCTCGCTCTCTTTACTTTCCTTTACGTCGACATCATCGATGCTACCGCTACTCTCTACTCCATGGTTCGCTTCTGTGGTGTTGTGAACCCTCGCGACGGTGACTTTCCTCGCTCGACCCTTGCGTATTGCACAGACGCTTTCTTCATCTCTGTCGGTGCTTTGTTGGGTAGCTCACCTGTTACCGCTTTCATCGAGAGTGGTGCTGGCATCGCTGAAGGTGGAAGAACTGGCTTGACTGCCATGACCACTGGACTATGCTTTACCGCTGCCGTGTTCTTTGCGCCTATCTTTGCATCTGTACCACCTTGGGCAACTGGTTGCACTCTAATTCTGGTCAGTTGTATTGCTTCTTTAGGTATCGAATTGTAGCTTATAGGATGTGTAGGTCGGCTGCATGATGATCCGTCAAATCACCCAGATCAACTGGCGATACATCGGCGACGTTCTGCCCTCTTTCGTCGTCATGACATTCATCCCTTTCAGCTACAGTGTAGCCTATGGTCTTATCGCGTAAGTCTACCATCTTCTCCTTTATATACCTACTAATAGCCCTTAGCGGTATTTTCGTCTACGCAGTTCTCAACGGTCTTGTCGGCCTCGTTGTCTGGGTTACACGTGGCTATGTTGAGCCTCGCGAGTACGATCTCAAGGAGTACTGGACCTGGAAGGGTTCAGGCCGCGCTCCTTGGTTCATTCGCGCCATTCGCCACGGTCGAAATACCGGTGAGGAGAATGATGAAGACCAGCCAGGTGATTCTGGTCATGCCATGAGAGATCTTGACTACGACAACCGCCGCGAGAACAGCAGCTCCAGGACTACCTCCAGCGGCAAAGACGATCCGCCTATGTCACCCTCCAATGAACGGTGGGAGCGTTGACTGTATAACGGATGACTTTCACGTGTGACACTTTCTATTCTCTGTATCGATCAATTTCTGAGAGCTGGTGCCTCATTTTGGAATTGTGGGACAATGTTTGCTTCTGGATGATGACAGTTGAAAGGGTCAGTATCGCCCTCGGAGCAGTATATAGCCTGGCATGGGCGATACCAGAGGAAGGGGATGGAGGGGAACTGCCGAAGGGGGGCAAGATACTGAAATGTCAAATGTGATGTAGTAGTGTATACAAGCAATTATAAGCCATGAATATCAGCGTGTTGCAAATGACAAGCGGACTGTGTAGTGATACAACAGGAGATGTTGCTCTCTTTGTATGCCGTCTATCAAGAATCACCAGCTCTTAGTACTGTAGACCTGGTATCATGGAACGTCTGCCTAAATATAGTCATAGAACCTGGTATCTCCATCTCCACCACGACCTTGATCAAGCATTTCAAGCTCCCATATCAACATCGCCGTCCCCGTCACCACCTCCAGCTCGACCTCTCATGGCCTGCTCTGCATTCTTCCTCCTTTCTAGGCTCTCCTTCACCCACTTCTCACAGGCAGCGTCACCACCCTCGGCGATCTTACTGCGCACAACGCCCTTCATCACCTCACCCGCAAAGCCCACAAAGTTATGTCTTCGCAGAGCATTCTCAAACATCCAATCTCGTCGCTTGCGCTCTTCTCTTGCCAACAGCTCCTCATCCCCGAAGTCGCGCGCACGCTGTCGTAGATCTCGGCACATAGCCAGGAGATTAAATCGAATCTCGGTGGTGTCATACCGTGCGATGCGGCGTTGGAGAACATCGACTACCTTGGTGGGGAAGTCCTCAGAGCTGCAAGCACCATGGGAGATGGGCGCCGGTTGCAAACCATCGAGCTCGTAGAGTGTACCGTTGATAGGTGTATAAGCGATAAAATGGAAAGCATCCTCCGCCTCGGCGCCAGTCTTGTCTGTCTCGTCGGCAAAAGGGCTGCTACGAGCAAAGCTGTTGTGCACCTCACGGATGAGGTCAGAGTTACTCAACGCCTCACCACGGAACTCGGGCGGCAACACCATGGTGAACTCTCTGAAGTCGCCGAGCTTCTCGCCTATTTCAACATTGTTCGTCTTATTGAGTAGTACACTCAACAGAGCTTGCGTTGCGCATGCATTCTGAATCGTCTGGGCAGCAAAGAAGATGTTTTCTGATGCGGCATTGTCGAACGAGCCGTCGCGGGGTCCTTCGGGTGTCGCATATGGTTGATCAGTCGGGTACTTGAAGAGGAAGATCACGCCGTATACAGGCTGTAAGGACAGCAGCTCAGATGGGTCGAGTGTGAGGAGTTCTTCGAACTGAACGTCTTTCACGCCAAGATTCTCGATGAGAGAGGTAAAGACACCCTGACAGCTTCGAATTAGCTCTCCAATCTCAACGATTTTCCAGAATAATTCAAGCATACCGCATCGGACTCAACTATAGAATTCAAGTCAGTATATCAGTCAAGATCATGCCCGCAGCAGGAAACTAACTGGTATTCCATCCGCCACTCATTCTTGCGACAAGTTCAGCGTCTCCTGGCAACTCTAGCTAGAACTAGGGGTTATGAGCTAGGTAATTGAAGGAACGAGAATAAACACAGTCGCTTAAAGGTACGTAGTTCGATTGATAGAGTGTAGACGTTTCTCAGATGAATCAAGTTGTTTTGGGGAGAGATACAAAGTAGGACCTTCAATGGCAAGCAACTGAGCTTGGAGCCACACGACACTGATATCATCAGTCGCTGATAAGATAAGAAAAGCCAAAGGCAGCAACACGCTACGACATCATTTGAGGTACACTGGCCTCAGCTCAGGGAGCAAGAAAACACCGGACCTTGATATAGGGTGTCAAAATAAACTTAGCAAGGAGTCCCCTAAGCTCAGCTAGATATATATACCTAAGCATTCTTATCGCTTAGGGTCAAGATCCTGAGTTTTCTTTCCTCCCTACCTTAGTAGGTATCTCTGGCAGTCCATCCTCAGGCATTAGAATGAGGAATTCCATTCTATTGAGAAAGGGTTATGCAATTTTGACATAGCAAAAAATCCAGTTCTTTGCCTTGACTAAGCTTGAAGTTAATGCCTCTATAAACTTGTTACACACACTCCTTCTCACCTTCAGCATCAGTAACGCTCTTCGAAAACTATCATGTCATCGAGACCAAATTACAAAAAGGCCTAGGCTCGCTTTATTCTGTCGTAAATCTCTTCGCTGATAGAAGAAATGCAAGAAATAAGAAGAAAACTGGACTAAGCCAGGAGGTTCCATACGAAAAGAAAACACCCCCAACTCCAATATTTTTCACCTCGTTCCAATGCTAGTCATATACAGCGTTGGTCTAAACTTTTTCCACTCATCCCGCATCTCGCTTGAACACATTTCAACCAATTAAATTATCATCGTAAGGGACAACGCTACAATTCAATAAGCTGTTCCCTGGCTGGCTCGTTTTGCTGGTCATCATCCTGGACTCCTTGCTCCGCCTGTGCTTCCACATTGTGCTCTGTGCCAGTGCTGGTGGTCGCCTCTTCACCAAGATTCTCAGTTTGGTCCTGGTTCTCATGGCTCTCTTCATTTTGAGCTGCCGCAGCTGCCGCGGCTTCGGCCTCTCTCTCCTCGGCCTCTCGACGCTCTCTCTCCGCTCGTGCAGCTGCTTCCAGATTGGCTATATGCCTTTCTGCAACCCCCGGTGCGATACTGGCCAGAAACAAGAGACCGGCTCTCTCCACGCGTCTGACTTGTGATAGCAGCCAGCTCTCAGGACCTTGGTGCTGAGCTACAAGTCGCCGTGCCATTTCAGTAGGATCTGGGTTTTGACGAGGCTGCTGATTCCGCTCCTCTTCTCCGGCGATAGCTTGGCGACGTCTGGGCTCGGCGGGAATCAGATTCTCAAGGTGTCGTCCCAAAGGCTGCCAAACGTGATCTGGAACGCCGTTGAATATTCCAGTGCTAAGCAAAAAGATGAGCACCGCAATCACAATGATGGTGAACCACCTGGACCAGCTTGCGTTGGGGGAAGTGAAGAACCAAACAAACAGAACCAGCCGGAACAGTAGCCAGATTTGCGGCCAGAGCTGCATAAGGAGAGGTGGAAGCGCCGCCATAGGTGGATTTCCCCGATGCATCAGAGGAGCCATAATCGCCGCAGGGTCCGGTTCTTGCGCCTGGTTTTGGCCTTGGGCTTGGGCCGGGTATGCGGGTTGTTGCTGCGGCGCAAGGTTCGGAGCTTGCTGCTGAAAAGGCTGAGGGGGTTGTAGGTTCAGAGGACGTCCTTGTGCCTGGGGCTGAGGTATCGGCTGCGGCGCGATCTGGGAACGGGGATGGTGATGGTGGTGATGATGAGGGTGATGATGGTGGTGGTGGTGGTGTCTCGCTCGCAGTTGACTCTGAGCATCTAGAGCGGCACTACTAAGAGCAGCGGCTTGTCGAAGGTGAGGTAGACTCGTCTGAGTTCGCAACCGTGGGGTGATATATGTTTCGGAGCTACTATTGTTTAAAAGCAAAGCTCTGGGTCCCTCGGGCGACGAGAGAATATACACCTCAGGTCCTTGCCTGGTCTGTAAACTTCCGGGAGCTGCAGTGGTGCTGAGTCGATTAAGAAACGAGTCAGGGGTTCCACGGCCACTGCCGGTCATGGGCTGGGAAATGGGCCACATAGGCGCCGCCAGTCCATGTTGAGGTCGGTTGTGAAGAGATGTGCTCGAAGCGCTTCGTTGCATTGCGCTGGCCATTGCCGACGTAGCTTGGTTGATATCAGCGTTTCGAAAAAGATTCTGTACATCAGCGGGAGACATTGAGCCGCTAGCACCACCATTACCCTGTTGTCCAGGTACCATAGTCCGAATCACAGTCTCGAATTGATAGGTGCTCCCATTTGGTCCAACATGCTCACGGTAAACGGTATGGCCTGGAGCTGGGCTTGCTCGGCCACTATTGTTGCCACCAGTGTTTCCAGGGTTATTGGGGTCGCCAACGCCGCGCATTCCCATTTGAGCTCTCGTTCGTTGGTTCTGATTCAGAGCTCTAGCCATGGCCTCTCGTTGGATACTGTTCAACCACTGTGTCATGTTCTGATGTTGGTGTTGAAAAGCCGCCGCTTGCTCGGGAGTGTGCGAAGGCGAAGGGGATGGCATGCGTGGTTGAGGAAACGGGCCTGAAGTTGGCGGCATCGTATTCCGCCACCCTGGCGGCATCTGGTATCCAAAAGCTTGGCCGGGGGCTTGCTGAGGCTGAGGGCGTGGAGGATGCGTTGGTGGTGCGGATGCGGTTGGACTCGGACCTTGCGCAGGCGTAGATGCAGGAGCAGGAGCAGCGAGGGACGGTGGCGCAGAGGTCGCGTTGGGGGTTGAAGATGGGCCATCGGTTATGTCGCGAAGGACAAGGTGAATCGTTTGCTGTTCGGAAGTGCGAACCTGTAGGCAAGACAAATCTTCAGTTAGCATGTTGCAACTCTTGGGACAGATCACCGTCCAGGAGTCACGTACCGCATCAGCGCCAAAGATATCGACTAGTGTATCCGCCTCGCGGACGAGTGCGTGTCCCCTATGTATCAGTCGTTGATGGTCGTCGGCGGGCCGCAAGGGAAGAGTCTGGCGAATTTTGTCCTTGAGCTGTTTGATCGTAGTATTTGCAGCAAGGTTGGGGAAAAGCAGTGGTCGATTCACACCAACGGACGGTGAGAGGACCTGTAGGTTGACAGTCTGCTCGTCCGTCGTCGCAGTAGAGGCGGCGGAAGGTCCATCGTCTTGAGGACGAGTAGCAGAAGGCATGGAAGCCATGATAATCAAACTGATAGCATGCCACTCCCAAGTAGGCAGGTGAGCTAAGGGAGGATGAAGTGGCCTGAAGTATCGGGATCAAGGAATGGCGACGAAGAATAAAGGACAGGTCGGGTTGTTGTCGTTGAAGCTGTGACTCAGGAACATATGTCGGTAATCGACGACGGGGTTTCGCCTCTTCCTAATCGTGGCTGTCGATGTACGAGAGCTCGCGTGTTGAAAGAAAGCACCAGCTCGTTAACTGACGTCGGTTGTGTCGTCTTACTAACACTAAAAGGGTCGCATGTCCAAGGGAGTCTGACGACAGACGATGCAGAAAGGGATGACAAAATGCGACGGCTGCGAGCAGCACGAATATGTGCTAAGAAAAATTAAAAAAAAGATTGCAGTGATTCGCTGTGAAAATACGATTTGGTGAAATGAAAGTTTGATAGTTGGTGGTTGATTACTATGTAACAATCAAGACATGGAAGACCACTTCATGGATGGCAACGACAATGGTTAGGGTGGCCTTTTGGCCATTGGGGCCATATTCAGGTAAGCTCAGGCACACACTCACCTTAGCCTGCGACAATGGGGAACGGCCAGGGGAGTGACAGCCCGCTGTTGCGGTGTCGGTCTGTTGAGATCAGGTCGTTACAGTGCTAGTGTTGATTGGCTAGTGTCCTAAAAAAAACCCTGTTCAACCCACACTCTTGTCTTCGAGGCCATCATCGTCGCTCGGCGGTCGGCGTCTTTTGCTTCCGAGAGCTTGTCCGAGAAGCTGTGTGTGTCTTGGCTGTGTGCGGCTAACAAGCTCGAGCAGCCGCAATCCATCGTCATCGTTGAGTTTGACGTCAACATCCATCGAAAACAAGGGTCCAGTCCTCTTTGAGAGGCTTCAACTACCTACCTCTCTTCTTCCCAGCAACTGTACGCAATTGCATAAAAGGCAAGGAGGCAGCGTTCAATTGCTGTCAGTCTCTACTGCCCGCTATGGCTCTAACCCTTGGTTTTGGGCCTGGCTCCTCCAAGCTCGGTAGTCACATGCTCCGCAACTCATTCTACACCCACGGCCGTTGGACAAATTATTACTCGCCATCTGCCTCGCGACACATGTTTCTGGCCTCCACGAGATCGCGATGCCTATCACGGCCTTCGGTCTCTTCAATTCGAACTTTCGCCTCCAATTCGGGCAAGAGACCAAGATTTTCCCAGCGCCTCGGCGAGGCCATGCGAAATACCAAAATTCAATGGTACCGGATCCCTGTCGGTCTAGGTATTGGTTTCCTCGGTCTCGTCCAGTTTTATAAGGTCTCTTCCCGTGAGAAGGAGAGACTCGATAATGAAGATGGACAGGAGGGTTCTAGGGCACCCAAGAAGCGTGCCAGAATCCGACCTGATGGCCCTTGGTATGTTACCTTGAATGCTTATGCCCCTATTCCCATGTCAATGCTAACTCAGTCAATCCCAGGCAAGTCCAGGTCATGTCAACTCTACCCCTAAAGGCCATCTCTAGACTTTGGGGACGGTTTAATGAACTTACTATTCCTTACTATCTTCGAGTCCCAGGTTTCAAGCTTTATTCTTGGATTTTCGGTGTCAAGTTTGTTCCCTCAACTCAACACTCAAAATCCTTTGGCTAACAAGAGCAGCCTCGACGAAGTCGCCGAACCCGATCTCCACGTCTATCCCAACCTCGCATCCTTCTTCTACCGTACGCTCAAGCCCGGTGCTCGGCCACTTGATCAGGATCCCCATACTCTTATCTGCCCTTCGGATGGAAAAGTACTTCAGTTCGGCCAGATTCAAGGCAATGACATTGAGCAAGTTAAGGGTATGACTTACACTATCGATGCTCTTCTTGGAAAGAATACCCCTGCTCCAAGCATCTCTGGCGCTTCTGGTACTTCAACTCCCGCAACAAGCCAAGGTGACGTGTCAGAGGAGGAGTCGCTCGTTAAGCAACACGAGGAGTTTGCTCAAGTCAATGGCATTTCATACACTCTTCCCGATCTTCTCACCGGTACTGGAAAACAGGCTCCGTCGGCAAAGGACGAGTCTATGCCCGCGTCTCCTGGTACAGTCTCTGAGGTCCGTGCGGAACTCGCTCTCGGCGAGCGACCTTGGTACGATCTCATATCTCCCGACAACACTACATCGCTTTACTATGCAGTCATCTACTTGGCTCCCGGCGACTACCACCGCTTTCACTCTCCCACGAACTGGGTTGTCGACCGCCGACGCCACTTTGCAGGAGAACTCTATAGCGTGTCCCCATATCTTCAGCGAACCCTCCCTGGTCTTTTTACACTCAACGAGCGCGTGGTTCTTTTAGGCCGTTGGCGCTGGGGCTTCTTTAGTTATGTGCCAGTCGGTGCCACCAACGTCGGCTCCATTGTGATCAACTTTGATAAGGAACTCCGAACCAATAGTCTGTTGACTGACACGGCAGCAGACCGTGCAGCGGAGGAAGCTGCCCATAGGGGTGAAGTGTACCATGGGTTTGCTGAAGCGACGTATGAAGCAGCCAGCCCTGTCCTGCGGGGTCATGCGCTCCGACGCGGTGAAGAAATGGGAGGTTTCCAGTTGGGTAGCACCATCGTACTCGTTTTCGAGGCACCTTCAGGCAAAACAGATGAGAATAATAGGCATGTCGGCTGGGATTGGGCTGTACAGAAGGGACAGAAGGTGAAGATGGGACAAGCTCTGGGACGGGTCATTGAGTAAGGTACAGTACAGCTGTGCAGAGCCAAAAAGCGAGTTAAGCGTTTGGATAATTAAAGATATATATAATTGTATACTACTATATATGATGTCACGTTTTATGAAGAATATCTCAAAATTCACTTTGGTATCGTTAGCTGTAAAGAATCATCACTAGAACATGGCATGTGATTTGGGTTCGGTCGCACATGCGTTAGTAGTCAACATGGATGTTCAAGTGTCGGTCAGAGGAGAAGGACATTGTCAATGCAAATGCTCATGTTAGGATTGGTAATTCTGTCTATTAAAGGAAGACAAGAGCTCGGGGCTCCATGTTCTAATTGCAACTCGCTAAAAATGCAGGTTTCTCATGCCAATTCTAGTTGACGTTTCTCATGCTTTCGTAAAGTGATCTTAAGCGCCAAAGACCTTGACACGCTCCTCGAGAGGAGCATAGTCCTTGGGGGCAGCCTCAGCGGTCTTGGCACCAAAGACAAGCTGAGCGTTGAGGGTCCAGGTGGAGGGGATCTTCCAGGTCTCAGCAACCTTCTCATCGATCAGGGGGTTGTAGTGCTGGAGGTTGGCACCGAGACCCTCAGCCTCGAGAGCGGTCCAGAGGAGGTACTGCTGGATGGCAGCGGACTGAACAGCCCAGGGAGGGAAGCGATCAGCGTAGATGGCGAACTTGGTCTGCATGGCCTCGACAGCGGTGTTGTCGACGTAGAAGAGGACAGTTCCGGCCGCGGCCTTGAAGCCGGAGATGCGCTTAGAGGTGCCCTCCCATGTCTCGGCGGGGACGATGGCCTTGAGGGTGTCGGCAGTGATGTCCCAGAGCTTGTCGTGCTCAGCGCCGTAGAGGACGACGACACGGTTGGACTGGGAGTTGAAGGATGAGGGGGTCTCGAGAGTGGTTTGGTTGACGATCTCGGTGATGCGCTGGGTGGAGATGGGGAGGTTCTTGGAGAGAGTGTAGATGGAGCGGCGGTTCTTGGCCAGCTCGATGAGGGCGTTGGCGGAGAGTTTAGCGGCCATTGTGAATGGTTTGTAGGAGTTGGTAAGTGTGTTGTAGGTGTAAGTGGTGTAAATGATATGAGCTGAGAGACTGATGATGAACTGGATGGACAGACAACACGGGGAATCAACTAGAATATATATAACAAAACCCTCAATCAGTTGCCGACCACTGTATCAAAGGAACGGTAACGGCCCCGCCATATCGACCCCATTGTCCCATTGTCCCATTCGTAAAGAGCTGCCAACTTGGCGCAATCGCCAAGCTCCACTGACTAATGCGACTAATGCGGTGCCGGGATTGCATCAGTGAAGGGTTTCTGTGCCTGTCTAATCAGTTTGTCAGCCACCCGCCAACAATTTCTGCTCGCGCGCGCTAGACTTGGGAATACTTCCGACCGATTCCATCCGGATATACTTGATAAATGAGGTTAGCGTCTGTCATGAGTTACCCTGAAGTCGCAACTGAACTGGGCTTTGTTTCTGGCATGATGACGACGGGGAAAAACCATCAAGATGAATGTCACAATCGTATCACTGCGAATAACAGTGTCTTCTAGCTAGCAAGCCCGAACTTTGAATTTTCTGTATCTAAAGCGACAGTTGCTATGAATTATCTACTTCGTAAGTCTGGCACCATGTCCCGTAGAGCTAGCAGTGAATGTGCATGGAAAACCCCGGATATATCAATCGGAACGAGACTTGCCATTCCGCTGACAAACGTAACCAGCCATCCAGATGCACTGAGCAGCCCTGGCAGCTTGATAATTCCATGTAAGCAAAGCATCAGCTAGATACTACCCAGGCTGCCAGGTATCCGTATCCAGCTGCGCATCCTCCGAAACGATCCCTCCACTTGTAAAACATACCTCGAGCGAGTCAGTCACTGACTGATCCTGTTCCAAAATTGTCTCATCTGATTAATCGCGAGACTCGAGTACACTCGGAGACTTCCTCAACTCTTGACCGCTTGTGATTTGCAATACGCGCGCGCGAGATCAATAATGCATCCGGGCGCATGGCTCCTAGGGACAAAGATCCGCTGACATAACCATTTTCTCTTTCTACATAAGGTACGGCAGACAAACCCATGTATTGGAGCTCCCGCTTAGATTGGATGCCGAAATCGTCTGCCCTATCATATCTCACCAGATGCCGAAAAGGGAAATCTGACAACGGGAGGCTCATGTTTGACATGTCTTCCGTTGGTGAGATTTGAAACTTTTAATCACTTTGCATGTGACGAGCGAGGATCCTTGATTGGTCATAGGTACAAGGCACAAATAGCAACTGCTGTAAAAAGCCTTGGGAGACGAATGGTGTATACCTCAAGACTCGAGACAGGTAAATCATAAAGTCACAACATCACTGGAACTCTAGTAGGACAAGTTTCTTATTATTTGTGAATTCATTTCTCGGCGAGGATAGAGCAAGCTCTTTGTCAATCCTATCCCGTCCAGACCGCCGCCGAGGGTATTTTTGTAGTATGCCAACTGCCACCTTATACTTTAAACTCCCATAACGCCGTTACCATGCCCAGCCCAATGCTCCTCTTGTCTCGAATCAGATAATGCAAAATGCCATCCTTCTTTCATGCGGCCATCCAGCTTGCGCCGGTTTGCAACTTTTCCTATCTTGTTACAATGATCCCGATAATTCCTCTTCAGTATAAAAACAAACGTCATCCAAAACTTCCCACTCTACTCGCTGGAATAAATTCATAGGCCAGAACATCTACCATGTCTCGGAGATGTACTTGCCCTCTTCCTTCTTGAGTTTCCAGAAGTTGCGGGCCTCCTCGCGCTCGAGGTTGCCCTTCTCCATGGCCACATCGCAAAGAGCCTCTTCGACACCTTCGCCCATGCCCTTGCTGCTTCCGCACACAAAGATACGGCCATCCAGAGAGTTGATGATGTACCAGACCAGATCAGACTGGTTCATAACCTCTTCCTGAACATACTTGCCGGTACCCACTCGGCTCTGGACAACGCGCTTCACTTCCTCCTCATGAACACCCCACTCGCCACTGTAGATCTCATCTACGAGCGAGTCTCGGATACCTTGCAGGACCCAGACCTTATTGGCACAGTTGGCCTGCTTGAGGCGACGCTGGACGAAGCCGCGGAAAGGAGCAATTCCAACACCGGCACCAATCAGGAGCATAGGACCATCCGAGTTGAATTGCTTAGCCAGAGGGTTGGCCATGAGGCCCTTGAACATGGGAATGAAGATCTGGGGGGCGCGTTCACCGGCAGCTTGAGCTCTCATGAACTTGTGGGCCTGTCGCTCAAAGAATCCAGAGCCGACGCCAGCACGGCAGCCACGTCGCCAATCCATAGAGTCGTGGACTGTGACGGCGATCTCGATCAAGCGGCGCTGAGCATGTTCTCGGAGAGTGTATGACTCCGTAGGATCGTTGGAGAGAGAATAGAATCGTGGCATGAGCTGAGCTTGGACAGACAGGAGCTGATCCATAGGAGGATGAGAGCTGGGGAATGCGTTGAGGATCTGTGAGAGAGTGACGTGCGGGCCACCACGGAAGTCGGAGAAAATGCTGGCACCCTCGTTGGAACAGAGATACATGAGAATCTTCTTCTCGTTAGGGGCAGTGGCGTGCTCCGCAATGACACGGAGCAGCTCCTTGGTTGGGGCATATGACTGAATGTCTGTGGTCCAGGTTAGGAGCTCGCGACGTGTGGTAATGAGCTCGCGAGGCTTGTCATCACCCCACACGGTAGGCCAGCGGCCCTTAGTGGTCTTCATGAGGACAGGCTTATCACGCTGGAATCGTGGGATCATGAGGGCATCCAGAATCTCATCAACCGAGATCTCATCGTTGGGGGCCATGACACCAATGGCACCACCAACTTTGAAGTCAAAAACCTCCTCAGGAGGGTAGTCGGTAATATCGAGATCAAAGTGGAAGGTTCTCTTCTCGGCGCCAGGCTTGGTGAGCTCACGAGTGTTGTGGATCCTGGCCGGGTAGACATTGTGGGGAGGATGAGGTTGAACGAAGCGAGGGGGTTGGATTGAGGTGTCAACACCCTCATATCCAGGTCCAGGAACGATGTAGTTGTTCTTGGGAGTAGTGGCTATGGGAGAAGGCTCGGAGTCGGAGCTGAGAGAGATGGCCGAGTCTGATGGCGAGGAAGTCGGCCGAGGAATTGAGGTGAAAGACACAGTTTGCTCAGGCACATCGATAATGCCAGTCAAGTTGGCGGGGATGTTTTCGAGTCTTAGACCGAGAGACTTGAAAGCATCGTTGTCAGGTAGAGTAACTTGCTCATACTCGACATTATTTCGGTCACCCATGCAGCAAGCACCACCACAGCAGCGATCCATATATTCAGCTGGCGTCTCACCAGTGATTCGCTGAATGTCTCTGGCATTCTGGGCGATTAGACGTGTAGATGCGCGACGGCGGCGCTCGAGAGGGATGACGGGCTCATCTTCTTGTGAGTCTGAATCGTCTGAGTAAGTCAACGAGGGCGCAATTGAAGGGGCACCCTCAGCCATGATCAGTTCGGGATGAGGTCGAGCGGCGGGGTTGACGATGCCGTCAATTCGAATGGCAGGAGCAGTCATGATGGGCCAAAATTGTGTTTGAGCCACCCGCTGAACGTTGAGTAGAGTCGGTTGTAGGTGTTGTTGAATTGCTCTTCGCAGCGAGTAAATCGTGCCGGTTTGTGCGGTGAGTTGTGTGGTATGATGTTGGTTTGAAAGCGACGTCAGGACGCAAAGAGCATGACGGTCTAGCGACAGGGGTGCGAGTGAAAAGCTGTCGTCTAGAGGCGAATAGGGTGTGAATTGGATGATTAGTAGACTTCTAATGGCAGCAGAATCGATCGATAAGATACTGCTGGAATGAAGAAGCTTTGGTGGTCTGGTGAAAGGAGGAAGCTGAGGAAAGCTGGAGGGGGCAAAAGACTCAAATAGTAGGTACCTAGTGGCCGACAGCGGGAGGTTTTAAAAAATCCAGGGAACCTGAGCCTGAACTGAACTGAACAGAACACAAAGCGCCCCCCGATGCGGGTTGGGGAGATCCACCGTGGGGCTATCAGACCGGGCGGGCAAAGGGGGGTGTGGCCCTACACTACTGCGCTGTAGCCAGTCCGGAACGTCCACTATCGCTACCTTATTAGTTACCTTAGGTATTGGGGCCTTCTATCTGACATCCAGATCCATTTGATAGTGTAGCATGCAATCCAATTGATGAGCAATGTATTATAAAGTCGTCACTAAATCTTTACTCATAAACTCTTCGAATTATATCAACTCTACATTTTGTTTTTCAGGTACACGCGATAATTGGATCCCTTGTAACCCAATCACCTGGCAGTCGGGTCACCCACCAGCGAGCGACAGGCATCTTATTCTCTTCCCCAGCCCACCGAAAAGCCCGAATTCAAATGATCTCGGTCTAGGCCCCTAGCAACTCTCCTTACAACAACAGGCCACGGGATAATTTAGATAGATTGAAGAAATGCATAGTAATTGCTTTGAGATGATGATGAAAAAAGGGGGTTTGAGGGCTGTCCATTGCATTGTTCTGGCCAATCAATTCTAACAAAGAAACAAAAGGAGCTCCGAAACAGGACCCTTCCCTTGTCGCAATTTCGTTATCAATCAATGCTTAATCAATCAGTCAGTCAGTGCTGTTGCTTGTCTCACCAGACCTAATCGAATCCATGCACGTGGGTTCAGTATCTCCAAATATTGTTTCTCCTGTCCTGTCAATCATGCCCACGGGAATCCTTTCTCCGGATTAAAGCACTCATCGCTTCGATTATGCAGCCTTTGTTATCTCGTATCGATTGTCGGCGAAAGAGTTCCCTCTGCTTCTTTTCAATGACGGGCTATGATCTAATGCTTGCCGATCCAGTGACCGGTTTGTGCAGCTGCCGGGCTTGCACAAGATTTTTCTTTCATTGGTTCGTTTGACTGGGTGCCACTTTTATCAATCAGCCACTTGATTGTCGATTCTTTGTCTTGGCACAGCAAGCATTTGTAACGAAATAGCA